CGTCGCCGTCGCCGCAGTGTTCCCAGGGTGGGCTTGCATGCAGATAGCCCACGGCCCGCAGATGCGGTGGCTCTGCACCGGGGGCGAGGGTGCCAAAGTGCCAGTTCCGTCTCGGATTGGCCCTGGGCCAATTTCACCCCGCCTCCTCTTCGTCCTCCTCCTTTTCTTCCTCTTCTTCTTCTTCCTCCTCCTCCTACTCCTCCTACTCCTCCTACTCCTACTCATCCTACCCTCTTCCATTCCTTGTCCTTGCTCATAATTTCTCCTTGTCGCACCCCGAGGCCAGTTTTAGGGCGGGCCAGGTGTTTCGCTTGAGACTTCCTCACCATTGGTGACCCTGAAGGTTAAAGAGTTGCAACAGCTTCACAGATAGAGGGCGGGTCGTTTTCACCATGTAACTCTCGCTCTGGCGCCGCGCATATTTGTTTAAACATTGCAAGATTGTCACGGATTGAGGGCGAATCGTTTTCAACATGTGGCTCTCCCCTTAGCGCCGCGTGCATTCGCCTTCAAAATTTGAAGGAGGTCAAGGATTGAGGGCGGTTCCTTTTCAAAATGCGGTTCTCGCCTTAGTGCCGCGCGCATTCTTTTCAAAACCAATATGCAAGAGCTTCACGGGTTCCCATGATCAGCGTATCAGAACTTGTGTTTGGGATCGGTTCTGGATTATGAGGGTGCAACAGTTACGTTCGTTCGTGGTGTTGATATCCCAGGAACGGCGTCCTTGCACGATTCAGGATTGTCAAGACGCATCAGTCAGGTTGATCCGTGGCGTTGGAATCCCGAGAACAATGCTCTGGCATGTTTCAGGACCTTCAAACATTGTCTTCGAACCAGGCAGTGCCGTTAGTGGAACTGAACCGTTGTAGGGGCCTATGAGGAGGGAGTCTGGTGGGAGGGTTTATTCCAACATCGTTGATGACTCTTAGGTTTACACTGGTCCTCCTCCTCCTCCGCCTCCTCCTCCTCCTCCTTTTCCTCATCCTCCTCCACCTCCTCCTCCCATTCCATCCCTTCTCCTTATCAAAAACTCCTCCCTGTCGCACCCCAAGACGTGTGGGCATGGCGAAGCAGGCGTTTCGCCTGAGACTTCTTTATTTTTTCAATCCTGAAGCATGAAGTCTACAACAGGGTTGGGATGGAGGGCGGGTTGATTCCAGATGTGGCTCTTGCTTTAGCGCCGCGCGCATTCATTTTGAAACCTTGCAGCAGCTTTGCGGGTGGTGGGCGGGCGGCTTTCAAGATGTAGCTCGCCTAACCGCCGCGCCTTTGCTTAAGTTTTGTCACGGGTTGAGGGCGGTTCTCCAAAATGCGGCTCTCGCTGTAGCGCCCCGTGAATTCGTTGTGAAGTTGGCGAGCGCGTAAAGAGTCTATATAGTTGAAGTCCCAGGAATGGAGTTTTTCGGTGCGATCTCGGATCTTCAGGACGCAGCAGTCACGCTCATTCGTTGTGTTGAAGTCCCAAATACGGTGTTTTGGCACGATTCGGGATGTCAGGACGCAGAAGCCACGTTGATTGCCGGCGCTGAAGTCCCAGTAGCGGTGTTTCCCGACATGGTTGAGGATGCTAGAGCGGTTGTGCTCCAATGGTGCGCTTACCGCCATGAAAACAAATTCTCGTAGGGATTTATGAAGAGGGAACTTTGGGGAGGGTTTATTGCAACATCTCTGACGCGTCTTGGGTTTACACTGGTCCTCCTGCTCCTCCTCCTCGATCCTCCTCCGCCTCCGCATCCGCATCCTCCTCCTCCTCCTCCTCCTCCTCCTCCTCCTCCTCCTCCTCCTCCTCCATCTGCTCCTACTTCTCCTCCTCCTCCGCCTCCTCCTCCTCCTCCGCCTCCTCCTCCTCCTCCTCCTCCTCCTCCTCCTCCTCCTCCTCCGCCTCCTCTCTTCCTGGTGGCCTCTGGACGGCTCCAACGGCCCCAGAGGGGCCGAGAGCCCGCCCCCCCCAAAAAGCCACGGCCCTCGCGGTCATCCCCCGACCGGCCCCGTCCTCCCTCCGCAGCCGCCTCGGCTCGAGCTGGCTGCGGCTCACCCGCCGGAGGCCGCAGATGGCCGCCGCCGGCTGCCGGCGGTCGCCGAGGGCCGCGGAGGCCCGCCGAGGGCGAGGGCTGCCGGAGGCAGCCCAGGCTGGCCGAGGGCTGCCGGAGGCCGCCGAGCACGCCCGCCGGCCCGGGGGCTCGCGGAGGGCATGGCCTCGCTCTGCGGCCTCGCGGCGGGCTGCCGCGAGCCGCTGCGGAGCGGCCGGCGATCCGGCGCTCCCTCGGCGATCGGTTCGGAGATGGGCGGTTCGCTCGGCGATCGGCGCGGCCTCGCGGCGGGCTGCCGCGAGCCGCGGCGGAGCGGCCGGCGATGCGGCGATGCGGCGCCTCGTCGGCGATCGGCGAGCTGCGCTCGGGGATCGGCGGTCGGGGATCGGCGGATGGGCTGCAGCGCGCGTGGCGGCGGGCCGCCCGCGCCGCGCTGCCGCGCTGCCGCGGCCCCCAGAGCGTGGGCGTGCGAGGCCGGGCGCCGCCGGTGGCCCGGAGGTGGGGCGGCAGGGAGCGAGCTGCGCGGTGGGAAGGCCGTCGAGAGGCGGAGCGCCCCCACGCGGTGTCGGAAGCCGGCCGACGGCGCCGGCGTCCTGTGCGCGGTCGGGAGGCCGCCGGCGCTCGAGGCGGAGCGCCCCACGCGGTGCCGGAAGCCGTCCGAAGGCGCCGGCGTCGCCGCGGCGCGGGCGCACCGTGGCCCCCGTGCTGCTGCCGCCTCCGACCTGCGTGTGTCCAGACTTCGGGCGTCTCGAAAAAATCGAGACGGAGGTTTTGCATCATTTTTTGGCCTCTCGGGGCCCTCGCCGGGCCTCGGGGCCGTCAAAAAGCGGCTCGGGATGAGAAACGGGTCCCAGGGAAGTGGTCGGGAGGTCGGGGGCCCGCGTCTCGAAAAAATCGAGACGTCGGATGTCTGGGTATGTGTCCCTGGGGAGGGGGGGGCAGAGACTGGTCCAACGCAACGGAAAACAAAAACAAAGGCGGCCCTGGCTGTGCCTCGGGACCGTCCAGCAACGGCTCGGGGCGAAGAACCGGTCCCAGAGATCCGACGTCGTGATTTTTTCAATGCGGTGCCCCCGGAAGTCTCGACCCATTCCCCAGGACCGGTTTCTCATCCTGAGTCGCTTTTTGACGGCCCCGAAGCCCAGCGAGGGCCCCTAGGGGCCGAAATTTGCATAAAACCTCCGTCTTGATTTTTTCAATGCGTTGGATCTCTGGGGTCCTGGGGAAGGGGTCGAGATCTCCGGGGGGCCCGCACTGCGCAGAAAGCACGGCGTCGGCTCTCCGAGGGAGGCGCCGGGCAGGGAGCTCGGCTCCAGAGGCCCACCCTGACTCCGGATCCCCAGACCTCGGGCGTCTCGAAAAAATCGAGACGGAGGTTTTGCATAATTTTTGGCCTCTCGGAGCCCTCGCCGGGCCTCGGGACCGTCAAAAAACGACTAGGGATGAGAAACTGGTCCCAGGGAAGTGGTCGGGAGGTCGGGGCCCGCGTCTCGAAAAAATCGAGACGTCGGATGTCTGGGTTCGCCCTACTTTGGGGAAATTCGTAAGTAGGGCTTGGAATGTCCGCCTTACTTTTCAAGCCCCGCTGATGCCAAGTTCCGCCCCACTTTTCTGTTGCTGTTTCCGCCCGATGTCTGTGGAGTTTCGCCCTATTTGATCTTGGGTGCAGACATTTCCGCCCTACTTCTTCGGCTTCATATAGGTGGATTCCCGATGCAATTTTACGTGGGGAAATCTACCAAAGTAGGGCGGATCTGGAGTCAGGGCTCTCCTCCTCCTTCTCCTCCTCCTCCTCCTCCTCCTCCTCCTCGTCCTCCTCCTCCTCCTCCTCCTCCTCCTCCTCCTTGCCCCCGTCCTCGTCCTCCTCGTCCTCCTCGTCCTCCTCCTCCTCCTCCTCGTCCCCGTCCTCGTGGGAGAAAACGGCCCAAAAAAGGGCGGATCTGGAGTCAGGGCAGGCCTCCCCCCGAGCGGGGTCAGAGGCCACTCGTGCGGGATCGCCGGGCCGCGCCGCGTCGCCCCGATGCATCCATCGGCCGCGCGGCTCGATGCGGAGCCGGAGATCCAGCGCAGTGACGAAAATCACGACGGAGGTTTGTCACAAGTTTCGGCCCCTGGGGGCCCTCGCCGGGCCTCGGGGCCGTCGACAAAAACGACTCGGGACGAGAAGCCGGTCCTGGGGAGTGGGTCGAGACCTCCGGGGGCCCCGCCTCGAAAAAAAATCACGACGTCGGACCTCTGGGGAGCCCGATGTTCTCCACGCCGACGGCGGCGTCGTCGCCGTCGGCGGCCAGGGACGTCGGCGCGACCCTTGGAGACCCCACCTGCACGGACCCCAGCAGGGAGGCCTCCCAGAAGGCAGGGAGTAGTCCGTGCCCCTTGCGGCCCCTCGTCTTTCTCCTCCGGCTTTTTGCAATTTTTTCAGGAGGTCGGCCCCAACCCAGACATCGGGCGTCTCGAAAAAATCGCGACAGAGGTCGTTCACAGTTTTTGGCCTCTCGGGGCCCTCGCTGGGCCTCGGGACCGTCAAAAAACGACTCGGGATGAAAAATTGGTCCCAGGAAAGTGGTCGGGAGGTCTGGGGCCCGCGTCTCGAAAAAATCGAGGCGTCGGATGTCTGGGAAGGGCCAAGGAGCTCGACCGAGTCCCCGGTGTCGGCCAGAGTCGTGTGTGGACGGTCCTGGGGCCGGCAAGCGGCCTCGGGAAGTCGAAGACGACGACAGGGCATCCGTCACGACTTCTGTTGCAGCTCAGGAGGGGAAAAAGCACACAGACACAATGAATCGTCGATCCCCCAGAACATGTGGGAAAGATGGGAAGTGCGGGGAGGACGAAAGCCAAGACAACAACTAGAAAATATGGGGGATCCTGGGATATGTGTGCAGTTCTTTGTGTGTCCCTGGGCCCCTTTGGCAGCGCCTGGATCCGAAGAGCGGGGCTTGGGCGGGAGCAGGGGCACGGCTATAGAGCGAGGAGCGAGATGCCGCACTGCGCCGACTTTGTGCCGCTGGTCGTCGCCAACGCCTCCTCCGCCGACCTCCTCGACCGCGACAGGACCTCGTCGCCACTCCCAGACTTCGGGCGTCTCGGAAAAATCGAGACAGAGGTTTTTCATAGTTTGTGGCCTCTCGGGGCCCTCGCCGGGCCTCGGGACCGTCCAAAAACGACTCGGGATGAAAAACCCGTCCCAGGGAAGTGGTCGGGAGGCCGGGGGCCCGCGCCTCGAAAAAGTCGGGACGTCGGATGTCTGGGCAGGGGGGCAGCCCAGAGATCCTCCTCCTCCTCCTCCTCCTCCTCCTCCTCCTTCCTCCTCCTCGTCCTCCTCCTCCTCCTCCTCCTCCTCCTCCTCCTCCTCCTTCTCCTCCTCCTCCTCCTCCTCCTCCTCCTCCTCCTCCTCCTCCTCCTCCTTGAGGGGCACTTCCAAGGATTTTGGTCTCTGGGGAGTCGCCCTCGGGCCCGCCGAGGCCACCAGACAGGGAGCTGGGAGGAAGTAGTCTTCAGTCGGGCCTGTCCCTCTACAGGAGGGATATTCAAAAATAGTTAAAAAATAGTCTGGGGACGATTTTTTGACTATTTTTGAATATTTCAGGGCATTTTTTGACTATTTCTTATTTTTCGTCCAAATTCACCCTGTAGGGGGACAGGCCCGACCTAAAAGTAGTCCTGCCTCCCGGGCCGGGGGGGGGGGGGGGCAGAGTCCAGACTCCCCTTGAGATCCGCCGTTATGAGCAACAAAAAAGCGACATCGCAAAAATCACCCCATCTTTCTGCGTCGTTTTTCGAGGCGGGTCGATCTGTGAGGTCCCCCAGGGCCCGAAACGGATCGAATATGCCCTCTGTGACAAGAATTGCAAAGCCAGGATCTGAGGGTCTTCAGGTGCTTCGGATTGATCGAAGAATCACGTCGCCAGATGTCTGGAACCGTGCCAGTGCCGATGCTCTCTCCTGCAGGGGGACGTGCCCGACCTAACACGGGTCCTGGGAGAGGTCCACCCAGACATCCGACGTCTCGATTTTTTTCGAGACGCGGGCCCCAGACCTCCCGACCACTTTCCTGGGACCAATTTTCATCCCGAGTCGTTTTTTGACGGTCCCGAGGCCCAGCGAGGGCCCCGAGAGGCCAAAAACTATGAACGACTTCTGTCGCGATTTTTTCGAGACGCCCGATGTCTGGGCAGGGAGCGGTGATGCCGGCAGCTTTTCGTCACCTTGTGCCAGCGTGGCGGCGGCACGCTTTTCGCAGCGTCGACCCCCAGAGGTCTGGACCCAGAGATCCAACGAAGTGACAAAAATCAAGGCGGCGTTTTTCCGCGAATTTCGGCCCCTGGGGGCCCTCGCCGGGCCTCGGGGCCATCAAAAAACGGCTCAGGATGAAACGCCGGTCCTGGGGAATGGGTCGAGACCTCCGGGTCGACCGCGCCTTGAAAAAATCACGACGTCGACTCGGATCTCGGGGCCCCCTGCCCGGGACCGGTTGTTCGTCCCGGGAAGGGCCCCCCGGCCAGGCCGAAAACAGCGACAGGCCTCCCGGCGTGATTTTTGTCGCAGACGACCCAGACCCAGACATCGGGCGTCTCGAAAAAGTCGAGGCAGGGTTTTTTCATAGTTTTGGGCCTCGCGGGGCCCTCGCGGGGCCTCGGGACCGTCAAAAAACGACTCGGGATGAGAAACCGGTCCCGGGGAAGTGGTCGGGAGGTCGGGGGCCCGCGTCTCGAAAAAATCGAGACGTCGGATGTCTGTCCCGAGTCGTGTTTTGACGGTCCCGAGGCCCGGCGAGGGCCCCGAGAGGCCAAAAACTATGAAAAACCTCTGTCTCGATTTCTTCGAGACGCCCGATCCCAGATATGCGACGTCCTGATTTTTTCAGGACGGCGTCCCTGGAAATCCCGACCCTTTCCCCAGGGCCGGTTTTTCATCCTGAGTCGTTTTTTGACGGTCCCGAGGCCTGGCGAGGGCCCCCAGGGGCCGAAAATAGCCCCAAATCTCCCGTCCTGCTTTTTTTACGACGCCATCATGTCTGGGATGTCTCTGGGGAGGTTGTCTGGGCTTATAAAAGGGAGCAGGCCTGCCGGGCAGCAGTCTCGGTCAGAGCGCCCGGGGGGGGCGCTCTCGAGCAGGGAGCGTTCTGCAGCGCTCTGGGACGGCCGCGGCGCCCGGCACGTCTTCCAGGCCCGGCCCGGACTCCGGATCCGCCCTACCTTGGGGGAATTCGTAAGTATAGGGCTTGGAATTTCCGCCCTACTTTTCAGGCCCCGCCGATGCCAATTTCCGCCCTAATTACTTTTCTGTTGCTGTTTCCGCCCTGCTTCTGTGGATGTTCGCCCTATGTTATGTTGGGTGCAGCAATGTCCGCCCTACTTTTCCGGCTTCTTATAGGAGGGTTTCCGACGCAATTTCAAGCTGGAAAAGCCAAAGTAGGGCGGATCTGGAGTCAGGGTGTCTTCATCCGGATGGATCCACATCTGGCCATCGTCCTTATCTGTGTGGACGTCGACTAGATGGAGAGGGAGCACGCTGCCAAATAGCTTCCAGGTGTCTGAAATATGTTTCAAGCATGTTTCAAGCCT